TGCGGCTCTCTGTCTGTCTGGGAAAACTCTGCAAGTTCACTCCCAGCATCTCCCCTTTTTCCTTCGATGCCTTTCCCACCCAAGCACAGATAGTCCTGACCAATAACCGTGCTCACACAGATAGCCTCCTTTCCTGTGCTGATTGCAACTTTTACTCCTTAGCCCAGAGTTCCGTGCCAATTTGCAATTAGGGTTTTGTTTTCCATGCCATATTTACATAAGTCCGTGAAAACAGTCGTTGTGTTGTAACACTTACAGGGAGACTTCTGTGTATGGGTAGCAAGTAGGTCTGAATATGTTAAACAATCCCCAGGGAGAATTTGTTAGCCAAGTTTTAGAAGTTTTGCCTCTTTACGTGAAGCTGGAGGTCCAGCATATTTGGGGGAGGGAAGGAGAAGAACAGGAGTCTTTCATTTTAGCTTTGCTGTATAAAATGCGTATTGCACTAATGCTTCCCTGGAGTGCAGCCTATTCAAACTTCAAATATGGGGAAAGAAAATAGAAGGAAGAGTAAAATCCAGGATGAAATTCTCCCTTCTTATCTGTAACAAGGAAGCAACAGTGGCTACTGTGGCATAACTTGAGCATCTCATGCTTTACAGTGTGCTGTGAGCCCCCCATGAAGCCTACCCGCAGGTACTCTGACACGACTTCTGCCTCTGACTCTGTGAGCTGTGTGTTTCAAAAGGCATCCTTTCGGGCACTCGTAATGATAAATGCATTAGCTTCCCAGCTCCAGTGGCACATACCCACTTGTTTGCGTTTTCTTCTCTCCTCCTTCCCCTCTGAAAGAAAAAGAAAAGGTTTTCATCCTCAGCGACAGACTTTGCCCTGTTCTTTGAGCCTCAGTGTCACCTGGAGCTATTGTTAGGCTTTTTTGCCTAGCAAACTTCATCTCTGGCAGATAGTTTTGCAAGGTTTGAGCTGCTAATCTGCAAGCATTTTCCAGCTTATTGTTCCTCTATTGAGTCGTGCCAAGCATATTGCTTTGCAAACTAGCAAGAGGAAAACTCTGCCTCATGAGGCCCCGTCACTGTGGTGTTTGCTGTTTTGGAAGGAACTGCCTAACAAAGGTAGGAGCTGCCTCACCTGTCCCTGAAATGGGGTGCTGTGCAGCGGGGTACCTCAGCTCAGCACAGAAAGCAAAGAACACTTTCTGCTGAAAGCAGGGAAACTTTAAGCAGAATGCAGTGATCTTGGGATTTGCCCAGGGTTCGGGTTATTCTCTTTTTAAAACAATTTTTTGTTATAGCAGTGCTTAGTGTTCAGCGATGCTCCCTGCTAAGGCCTGGACCTGCTGCGTGTCCCCAGCTCCATGACAGTTCACTGACTCGGAGTCCCCTTGCTTCAGACGTGCCTGGAAGAGCTGCTCAGGAAACAAGTGTCCTGACTGCGGGTTGTGCAGAGTGGCCTCTGTCACTTGTCACTCGGGGCAGGCCAACTCAGGAGGGCTGACTGGACTGCAGGTGATAAAAACCCGCTCTGCCCTCTGTTTCACATCTCTTCCCTGGGGAGTCTGAGTGCAAGCGTCCTTACTTCATAGCTCTTGGGTACGTGTTCAGTGCAGGCAGAGTTTAATATCTCCTGCTGGGCTGCTGTTAATGCTGCTTCATTCAACACTTTCATGTTCTTCACATCTCATCTTTGTACACTTCTTGATGAACCTGGGTTAACTTGACATTTGAGGGGATTTCAGAACAATAGATGTGCCTACGCACATGCCAGAGATACAATACCTTTGAGATCACGATTTCTCTGTTTGGTGCAGACAGCAGCATTCACTTTCCTTTTTCTTCTCTCTCTTTTAAAAGAGTCATACTTCTGTTGGTCCGAACCCTCCATTCTTCTCATTTTGTGCATCCTTTCCAAAATGCCATTGTATAAACTCGTAGGAGTTCCTGGTGAGGTTTTACTGATGCTTTGAGGTATTTGGTGTTCTTGCTGTGACTGACTGCTTGTTTCTCAGGTTATCAATTAGGTGAGAATATCACATACCATTTTTCTTCTCTGCCTGTTGCAGAGAAAAAAAACAAAACACAGCACTGATGAGGCTGAAGGTGGTTTTTTTTTTGCAGGATGATGATTGCTGACCTGTCATGTTACCAGAGCTTTCAACAAAGCACCAGATGTAGGCATCTTGTCGCTTATAAATGTGCTTCTCTTAAGCTCACTCTTTTATGCACGAACTTTCTGACACGTGTGTGGCCACTGCTGATAAGGCTTTTATCACAGCACTCTGTGTGGTCCGGAAGAGCAATTTCTCCTGCTATCATCTCAAGAGTGGAGCTGAAGGCATACCCTTGAAATCTTTTATTTTCCCCTCTGCTGTGACCACCTCCAAACCACTTTTTGAAACTGAGTGGACTGATTTCAGTCTGTCTTCTGTCCAAAAATCTGTGTCTTTGCTGCCTATACAGAGCAGAGCTGCTTGTGCCATCTTTGCTGCTGTGGGAGGGTTACAGAATGGAGAGCAGATGTGTTCTTGGTTTAAATATTGCTTAGCTAGAGGATAACGTGTTTTCATGGCTAATATTGATTGAGTGGTTCCAGAGGACTGGGGATGGACTTTGAGTAAGTGGAAAGGGTGCTTGGCCAGGTAGTGGCAGGGGCACTGAAGTTGAACAGAAGGCTAATGAGCTAGCAAAACTGAAATGTTGTATGTCAGGCAGGGACACGCAATAAATTGTGGTTTAATTTAAAACAGAACTTTACAGTCTGATGTTACAAGGCCTCATTTCTTACATATAGATGCTGAGCACTTTAATCAAAATAATGGCTGCGATTTTTTTCGCCCTTGACATTGTTGGCTTGTCTGGGTTGATACAACTTGCTTTCTTTGCCAAACCTCTGGATGCTAGCACGCGGCCCTGCGGTGGCTGCTTTACACTTAATTTTTATGGAAGCCTAAAAGAGGCAAATAAATATATAATTGTGCAACTGCTGCTTATAAAATCGTTATATATACAAAGCATTATTCATAAAATTTCTAAATACCATTCCTTGGCTTGGTTTAAGCTTTAACAAGAAGTTTGAGTGGCGTTGACCACAAAGCTCTTTCTCTCTTTCCTGTCCTGATAGTGTTAGGATTGGTGTAGAAAACTTTCCAGGCGTGTGCAATAAGCGTATGTATTGTGTAAGCGGTGGGGAATGGGGTCTGCGCTTCCCACCAAATTGTGTTGTGCCATTGATTCACCAGGGTGATGGTGCTGTTCTGCTGCACCTAAAGCAGCTGCAGGTCCACTCACAGGTACTTGCAGTAGGGTTTCCTTGATGACTTCAGTACGTGGCTCCGTGATCTTTCAAGCCTGGCCAGGATGTGTAAGAAATACTTTGCTGCTGTTGAAACCCACTTGTTTCTAAGGTTGGACCCAGCAGTCGCTACGTGCAGGGGTGTTGAGGAAGCAAGTGAGAAAGAAGCTAGTGATGGCTGTAAATAGCCCGACTATCGGGTAGCTGTAAGACACACCCTTGAGGAAATGCAGATATGCTCCCGTCAGAATATGCATGCATAGAGATCATACCAGTGGTTGTGTTCAAATAAATGCATTGCTTTTAGATAGAGTGCTGCTCTTTCTGGCTGCAGCAGCTTTCAAGTAAACCCGTCTGTGTCTGCACATATGCTCTAAATCCTTTTAAAATGTGAGAATCCGCGCTGCACGTGTTTTAAATTACTGTGTGTTGATGCCCTATAAATAAAGCATACGTGCGTAAGTTGTGCTTCCTATAATAAACTTGTTTCAGCTTTATTGTTTTGGAGCACTTAAAGTTGACTTTGAGATACTGAATTGTCCCACAACTTGCTTAAAATCTAGTGATACAGGTGAAGCGGCATGCAGTTGATCCCAAAAGGGGGTGCTGCTAGAAAGGAGGGATCCTGAGAGGTGGAGGAAAGGCTCTAAAGGGGTGCAGCGGGGCTGTACTGGTGAGCAAAGTAAGCGTTGGCTTGATGCAGGAGCTAACAGAGCAGAGAAGTGGGTCACTTATCTAGGTCAAAGTGACAAGATTAACAGCTTTAAAAACTTAATTTCAGCTGATCTATTGGTCCTGATGGCACAGCACCAGTCCCTAAACTTGGGCCCCCACGCGAGGTCATTGAAGCTCCGCGTCTGGAGAGATGTGCAGCCCTCAGAGTCACGGGGAGGCCAGCTCTCCTAGCAGCCGTACAGCGCAGGGCTGTGTTTATTTTGGTTTGACCCCTGGATTTTTTTTGAATTTACTTTGGATAGACAGACTTTCATTAGAACTTTAGCTGCTTTATGTCCCAGGCTTGTTGTTTTTAGGGTGGTTTTCTAACAAACAAAATTCTCTCTGTGCAGATCTCACTGGTGAACAAACAGACAGAGGGCAGCTTCCCTCTTGGCAGGTGTCCTTCCTGGGTTTGCCAGGACTGCTGCCCGCCAGCGGGGCCGTGACAAGTCGGTGTTCCTGGGGGAGAAGCCCGAGTGGGCACTGGATTTTGGGGGGGATTGGGAAATCTTCTGCGTGAGGCACAGGACCGCCGAGTTGGAAAGCTGAGCTGTGTTCAGCTGCGGGCAGTCCTGTGTGCCGTCGGTGGAGTCATTAGGACCCCTGTCTTAACGCGTGGTCTTGGCGTGTCAGAACGAGCGGCACCCTCAGGGCTTCGCGCTGCAGGCGGCCTCACGCCACGTCTCTGGTGTTTTTGTCACCGTTTGGCTCTAAACGCCGCGCTGGCCAGCAGCGGGCACAGCCGGCCGCCTTCTCGAAATTTCTGCGCTGCCCGGGAGCCGCGTGGCGCCCTTCGAGGCCGCGTGCCCGCGGCTGAGGCGGCTTCGCGCTGCGCTGCCGGACCCGGGCACCCGCGGGCCCCGCTTCCTCAGGGGCTGGCCCCGAGGGGCCGGCCCCGAGCCCTGCCCCTCGCCGCCGCCTCCGCAGCCGCTGCCGCCCGCCCCCGGCTCCCATTGGCGGCTCCCGGGCGAGGGCCGGGCCGGGGAGCGGGGCGGGGAGGCCGGGCCGAGCCGAGCCGAGCCGCGCAGAGCCCAGCCCAGCCCAGCCCCGGCGCCGGACCATGGTCGGGGATCAGTGCAGCCTCCCCGGCGAGCGGCCCGTCCGAGCCCCGAGCCCCAAGGCCGGGCTGAGCTGCAAGATGGTGCTGCAGGCGGTGGGCAAGGTGCTGCGGTAAGGAATTCACCCTAAGCAACTGGGGTTTCTGGCTCCTCGGCTTTTAACAAGTTGAACGCCCGTCCTCGCTCTGTTTTTTTTTGGGGGATGGCACCATTCGGTGCGGTGGGGCTCAGCTGGCCGCCTCGTAACCCCCCTGGGCCGGCAGCTTGCTGTTCACGCCGGGAGCCTTCTGAAGTTTTTGGTGGCTGCCCGGCTGGCAGCGCTCCCAGAGGGGAATAGGGGGGAATAGGGGGGTGCCTCCGCTGGGGAGTGCTGCCAGGCCGCCTGAGTGCAGGGAGCCTCCTGCGGCTCAGCAGCAGGCATCGCCCCGGTTTGTTCAGTGCGCGTTCCTTCAATTCCTTCACAAAAGCTCTTCCCGTCTCTTCCAACTCGAGTATGTGCAGAAATTGTGCAGAATTTATTTGCTTTTTTTTCCCCCAAGGTTTCTTTTCCATGCGTGCTATAAAACTTGTGAAAGCGAGGAAAAGTTGCTGTTGGACGTGACCTGTTTTGGCCTCGGGAATTCGTAGCGAACCTTTGTCTTGCTGAAGCTGTTACGAGATGGTAGTGATTGGTATTTTGGAGTTTTGTTTACTTTCATGTCTTTTCATTCTGGATTATCTCCATTTAGGGAGTTCTCGAGTTAGAAATGTGAACTCACAAAAACTTTCTTTAGATGCCAGGCTGGTTCTCTTATTTCTCTTCCAGAATATACTTCAGCTGCCTCATCTGACCTGGTGTGTGTTGCTTAATTTTGCTTTTCTTTGGTTTTTGTTCTGTAAAATAAAAACTCATCATATTTTGCAAAGAGCTCAGACAGCATAAGAGCGCAGGTATTGGCTAGGAGCCCAGGTAAATAGTGAGCCTAATCAAAGCTTCCCTATTGCAGAAATCAGGTGCTTAAGAAAAGGGGAGCCTAGCAATGGTGAAAAAAAAACAAGTGGTGCCTGGCTCAGGACAGCTGTGGAGGGACTTCTGAAGGCAGACATCCACAGCTGAGCTTTGTGCACTTTGTTTCTAGTGGAGAAGAGCAGGGAGCTTGACGACGTGGCTGAATGCAGAGGTGCATTGCTAGCCTGGTAAAGAGTGTGACTGGTGTGCACTTGTTGGTGTGGATGCTGTAGCCGTGAAGTCAGATGAATCTCACACTTGATGTAGTGCACAACTACATTTTGGTCTTGTTTCATGGGTGAAACTGTGAATCTTCACCACTCCTTGCTGCTCCTTCACGGGCCACCAAGAACTCGTAGAACTTCACAGTGGACAAGGAATAGAGTGCCTGTCTTTTTTCTCTAACTTGTCCCTTATTTCTGTCTCTTAGGGGTTTACTGGTTGTACAGACTTACAAAGCTCACTTGTTCCAGTGAGATGCTTAGCCAGGATGACTTTCCTCCGTAGCAAACCCATTGCACAGTAGTTAAGTGAGTTGTGTGTGCCTGTAAGTTCTCTGGAAACTTTCGACATTCCTGTTGCTTTCACTAGCTGGTGGTGTAGGTCCAGGCCCTCCTAGCTGCTGATGCCAAATCATGTGTGTGTCGCAGGCAGAGAGTAACAGTTGCCAAAGGAGAAATTGGCACTGGGAGGAAGCAAGGAGGGAAACAAAGGGATTCACGAGAAGCAGCAGCAGACTTGAGCACCTGGGAAGTGTTGAAAAGAGCGCAGGGCAAGACAGCTGAACCAGAAAGGGCAAAAAATGTAACAAAAGCAACAGATGTGCTCTTAGCCTTTCTAATTAATTTTTTATGAAAGCTACTGTTAGGTTTAATACTCTTTTAAATTATTAGTGATTCAACTGTGAAGAACTCTGGAGATGTTAGTATCTTTCATCACACGAGCTAGCAAACTGTATTTAACTTTTAAGGGATGGGACTGAGACTACACACTTCTAATGATTTTAAGAAATTAAAATACCATTAGAAAAGTGTCATCTCCCCTTTTAAATTAATAGCATAGCTGAGATGAAGTTATGTGTGTTCCTCAGCCCAGTGCTTAATTAGGGCTTTCGTTTCACTTCAGATGTTTTTGAAATACGTTGATCTCATTTTTTCCTTCTCCTGTAATGAATTATATGTAATTATTCACCCTGTGGTTGGGGAGGAAGAAAAAACGTGACAAAATGGATGCAATTGTTCTGTTTTTTGTTTTCTGAAAGTTGGTGGTTCTAGAGAGGCGGAAGGGGTAAAGTGAAAAAGAACAATGCAAAAAATATATATATATTCTATTTAAAAAAAATAATTGTTCCAGCTTTTTGTAAAGTGGCTGATTATTGTTAGCCTCCTTGCAGTGGTGTGCTTTTTACTGGCTTTGAACAGCAGCAGTGGAAGGAAAACTCAAAATTCAGCTATGTGGGAAATCTCCCCTTTTTGGTCCCTGGCTGTGTACACTCACAACTCCTCAGAGCTGCGTGCTGGTGACATGTGGACGTGGTTTTCACTGCCCATGTCTGAGCTTGAGTCCTGGTTCAGATGCTCAAGTGCAGCTCAGAACTGCAGCATTTGTGCCATGGCACTGCAGGTCCTGCACGGATGATTTTCAGGAAATCCTCATCGTGCAGCTTCATTGTCAGTGCTCATCCCTTTAAGCCTCCAGTGGAACCTAGTCCCTGTGGGATAGCTGACTAACCATCAGTGATACGGTGTCATGGAAGAGGAATGATGAGGGCTGCAGAGTTGTGATGTCATGGTCTAATGACTTCTGATGAAGTACAGGACATTTTACATGTGTACATAGTCCAGGACGAGTGTGGGAATAGGTAACCTCAACTCCTTCTCATGAGAGAGCTTCCCTTTTTAGAGCAATGTGCAGGGATTGATTTGGAAACCAAACCAGAATCAAGGCACCCTGCCTGTGTAGATGTGCCTGCTGTGGGCAGTACTAATTAAGTGGAATTTTTACAGTCACTTTTCAAGAATTTGTCTTCAGTGATAGTGTGATAAGATTGCTTCCATCACAGATAAGAGGACATGTTTGTGTTGGCACTCTGGAAGGTGCTATACATTTTTACATCCAACACTTCGAAAAAAACGAAAAACAAACAAACAAACGTGTTAAGCATGTTCATGAAACAGGACACGTGTGGACAGAAGCAGAGTGGATTTGCTGTGGCTGCCTCTTTCCCACTGGCTCGCATGGCCCAGGACAGCTGCAGCTGGTTGTCAGCGACACTTAGGTGTATCGGCAGGGCTGAGGCAAATATTTTAAAAATAAATCCTGTTTTATCCTTTTTAAGGTTGAAATGTCTTCCAACAGTTTAGTCTGGCCTACGCTATTAACAAGTAATTAGTGAGGGCCGTGTATTTCGTGTTACTGCTCTGATTAATGCACAGGATCTGAGCAGGGGAGGGGGTAGAGAGGGAGGGGAAGGCAGCGTACAGGGAAGGGGCTCGCAGGCAAAACTTCAGAACCACGTCAGCTATTTTTATCCTGTTCTTGTCCTTTCTCCCTCCCACAACTTTCCATTGTACCAAAATAGTTCAAAATGTTTATGGTTCAGGGCAACTGACATCAGAAACTGACCTGCTGTGCCTCACCGAATATTTCTGTAGCAGGAGATGGCTTCCTGTCAGCAGCAGCCACTGCGCCTGCACTGAGAGGCTCGGAAAGGGCAAAAGAGCATCTCGTGCTCTGGCAAAGCAAGGCTGGGCACTGGGGGCCTTGTGGCAGCTCTGCTGTGCACAGGAAAGCACAGAGGGGCTTGTGGAGATGGTTCTTTGACACAAGTGTCCTGCCATGGTGACAGAGCGCGTCCTGATGGAGGTAGGCCCTGCAGCCTCACCAGGCCCTTCAGAGTCCCTCAGCGCCATGTGCAGGGAGCGAAGTCGCTGCGAAATTCATCAAGGTCTGCTTGAAAATGTGCCTGCTACAAGCTGTAGGTACCCCTGTACAAGGCACCTAACAGCTTTGGCTCCTTCTGGAGTGTGGGACTTGAAGCTGTGCTCTGGGAGGAGGCTGTGCCTCGTTAGGCCGGTGTGCCAGGCACTCCTCCATTTCTTTGGAATCGTTGTCACTGGTGTTTACTGCAGGAGTGTCACAATCCCGCTGTGTTTATGAAGCTTGGTGAGCCGTGTAGGGTGTACTGGCTTACTGGAGAAGCCAGCCTGTGTTCATTCAGAGGTATTTTACAACATCGAGCTGTATTTTGGTTGTGTTCTACATCCGGTGAGCAGATAGCCAGAGGGAGATGACTGCTGACATTCCTCTGTGTGTTGAAATAACCCTCTAAGGTGTCTCCAGAGCTAGTCTAAGTTAGTGGAGCCCATTAACACCGAAGCTAGGCTGTTTGAACTTGTCTGAAAACGTTTGTTTTCCAAGTTTGTTTCTGTTTAGTGCTCCTACACTTCTTTCAATAACAAAAGTGTAGGAGACAGTCGGGGATTGGTTATAGCAGATGCTCCCTGGGTGAGAAGAACATTGTAGATGTATCTAATTCCTTTTAATTTTATTTTTTTTTAAGTAGAAAAAAAAAGAATTGTCAGTGAGTGCAGCTGGCTGTGCTCAGAAAGACAGGTAGTGACAGAACATAACTCTTAAAACAGCTGAAATACCTGAAAAACAGCTAAAATACCGCCCCCCCCCCCAAAAAAAAAAAATATCCCATCGTGCCATACAAAGCTGATAGAATTAATGAAGAAAGGTACCTTGGGCTTCTTCACAGTAACTTCAATGCCAGAAAAGATGTTAGGTGTCCTTGGTAGCTCCTCTCACACTAGCCACTTACCCAAATTTGCTGTTCAGGCCGACGTGGCCATGTATCCCAGATCCAGAACAGCAGAGGTTTACAGGGACATATGCTGACTGATCAGCAGGATGCATTTGGCAAGACTGGAGAAAGGAAATTTGTGCTGAACTAGGTCTTCCTGACTCCTCGTTATACAAAGTCCTCGGTTACAACGTGACTGCCTTTTTTATTTTCTTCAGAACTGACCTGCTCAGGGAATAGATAGGGTCTTGACCATCTGTATGGGACAGAGGGGAAATTGCATTGTCTCAGTTGGAATACTTTCTTTTCTGTTGTTTTTCAACGTACAAAACCTGTCTTGTTACATCATTCAAATGCATCAAAATGAGTGTTTTTTTTCTCCACATCTTATTTAACAGGTGAGCTAACTATATCTGTTAACTGACTTGAGTTACAAGCTTTCTGAAAGGGATTCATATTGATTTTTGAAGAAGGGATTTAAGTGTTGAGACTGGATCACCCAGCGGTGATATTTAGCCACTCTCTTGAGAGAGACTTCCTTCGTAGGAGATCATCTTTCATTTCTTCACGGTGAGATGGCTAACGCAGCTGTGCACCAGTAGGCACGGCTACATCCCTGCGAAACCACTGTGATATCTGCCCCTTGCTGCCAGGAATTGAAACGGGGCTTCTCAGGCAAGCACACAGCCTTGGTTGAAAAGGGTTAGTCATGACCACCCCTTGTTTTGAGGTGTGATGCTGGGTTGGAAAAGCTGCTGTAAAGCATGACTTCACGTTGTGTTTTGAGCAAGAAGCTTAAATACCAGTCCCTGCTTGTGTGAAGTGATTAATTGTAAGTCCCTGCGAGCAGCTAAAGGTATTGCTTGCCATTTGCACGTGCAGCCAAGGGAACGAAGCTAATTCAGCACACAACCGCTCATCTAATTCTAATATTTGGCTTGGAAAATTACTAGTATTCCTTAACCAATTCCTTGCCTCTGCTTTCAGTGTTTAATTAAAAGAACAAGCAAGCAAGCTCTTAAAGGTAATGCTACAAGTTTGAATGCATCTATATTCTTGTGTTTTTTTCTGGTCACTAATGGATCAGTAAGTGTCTATAGAAGTGCCTCTGCTGAAGCTTTTCAGTCTCCCTTGGAGTATCCTGAAAAGTAATAAATTAGTCAGGAATCACTACTGTCTCATAAGCTAATTAACAGTGGTTGATCTAACTGTACCAGTAATTAAACTATTATCCACCCTACTATTTTTTCAATCATTCATTCAAATATAATTTTATTTGACCCATAATTCTGTAGAATATATTTTAAATAGATCAGTCTTCCTCTGTTGTACATAAAGCAAAATTTTGATCTTCTAGGAACTATTGAAAGGGCTGTATTATTGATGACAAAACCGAACAGCATTGCATCATTCTTTTGCAAAGCAGTTTAAAAATTAACTAATGGCTAGATTAGTGAATGCTTTGTACATATTATTCGTTAATGAAAGCTATCCAATTACGATAATGCTTTTAATTCCTTTTACCTTCAACTCTCTCTTACCTTGTGAGGGGAGACAGTTTGTGTCGTCTTACTAAAAAAATCAAAGAAAATTCGTAATAAGACTGAAAGGTACTGTTTTTTATCGCAAAATCTCATCAGGACAGGTGGGATTTCCCTGAACTAACTTTGATTTACATTCCAAGAAAAAATAGTGAGGAAAAAAGAATAGGTTTGTTTGTTTATTTTATTTTTTTTTTTTTTTGGAAAGCTACCATTGAGTGACCATGACCTGTGGTAACTTCTAGCAATCAAATGTTCTTTCTAATAAAAATGCTGTAGTTCACTTCAAGTGTAAGAGATGAATTTGTCAAGATTGCCAAACAGTGGATCTGAATTTCACGTGGGGCTTCTTCACATCGGTATTTCTGTGCCAACCTGTCCAGTAATGGCTCTGTAGGTAAATGAACTCATAGCTGTGTGCCAGTACAAATGCCTTGCAAATAAGTTCATGAGTGCAGGCATGCAAAATTGCTTGTGAATCCTGAGGACAACCTATAATTTTCCCCCTGCTCTATATCAATAGACTTTATATTGTTTACTCAAGATCCTACACAAAGACTAAGATATTAGAAGTAATAGATAGGTTTCCAGCTGTGTTTCTATGTATGCTCCCACTTGTGGTGCACTAGTGCTCTTCCGGCCTAGTAAATCCTTCTACATTCTTTCAGATGTGAAACACTGTTTATCTGAAGGATTCAGCTGCTGAAATCCTGCCTACTGTGTGATTACACAGAGATGATGTTTTCAAAGGTGGAACTGTATCTGTAAGGAAGTAGCAAAACAAAGGGCAGAACTTGATTGCGCTCTTCCCAACCAAAGTAGCCAATGTAGCCTTCCAATGCAAGTCACGTTTTATGCCTAAATAATCGCAACTTGCCCTGTTGTGCCAGGAAATAAAGACAGCCCTTCAGTGTTCCTCGCCTCTGGGACCTGCGCTCAGCTGCCAGCTGCCTGTGCTGCAGCACGGTGAGAAGGATTTATGTGTGGAGAGCACCGACTGGGAGCAAGTATTCCCATTAACTGTTCGGGGACTGCAGTCACGCAGCCCATATTGCTGCCCTCCATACTGTAGTTACCAAACATACCATAAAGCACTTTGTACTGGTAAGAATTGAGAAGTATTTCAGATTCCAAGCACATCAGACGTTACCAGTGCTTTGCGGGACAGGTGAGGTGGGGAGCTAGGCTCGCCCCTCTGACATACCTCCTTTGTAGGTTTTCTTTAGGCTGTGGTGGTACCTAAAGCTAGTTAGTACTGGTAGGTGAGTATTGGTGTGGGAAAAGGGCAGCGACGGAAAGTAAAACCATACAAAGCCAAACCTGTCTGCACCCTGGTGCTGTGAGCAGAGTAGGCTGTCTGCAGTTGTGTGTCTTGGGCTGTATAGCAAGAAGTCTGCCTGCTAAAGCCAGGTTGCCATGGAGAAATAATTCCTTGCTCTTAAAGCACGGTTTTACCCTGAAAAGCAACTCTGTGCGAGCTTCATTGTGAAATCCCACGTTTACGAGGCCATGAGGTTTCCAAATCAAATTTGCTCAGTTTGGAAATAAAAAGATAGCTTTGCAATCTGCCAGCTCTACAAACTGCCTTTGGCTCGGAAGATAACAAGCGGTGTCTTCAGTGGCTCCTGTGCGCTGGTGGTGAACTCCCTCCCTGCAAAGGTGAACCCGAGTGTACTGCGTGTGCTCCCCTGGAGAGATAGCAGGGCTGCCTCGGAATGGCTGGGAGGAGCGGCTGCTGCCAGAACTTGAATTTAACCATAACGCAGAAGTCAAAACAGCTCTTCCTTAAGTGTATTCCAGTGGAAGATTGCAGGAGAGAAAGTAACAACAACAAAAAACCTGCCTAAGTTAATAGACGTGTCTGAAAGCACACGGGTAATAGATATGTTAATTATGTTTCCACGGTTTTACTTCAGTACCTCTTACATTCTGCAAGTTGAAAGAAAATGTAAAACCTTGAGAGGTATGGGTTTTTTCCTTGTTGTTGGTAATTGGGCTGCTTTTACTTTTTCCTTGTTCTCGCAAACTGCTTGTGCTGGCCTCCAGAATTCCAAGTCATGTTGAATAAACACAACAACAAGCCTGGTAGGCCTGTATTTGCCTTCTCCGTAGTGTAAAAGGTGTATAAAACTTTGCTTGTGTTCAAATCTTGGTGCTGGTCACCTTGTGGTTCCTCCTCACAGCTCCTGCTGTGAGAGCTTTCCCCCTGCAGCACACAACCCCTGGGCAGCAGTAGGCTCTGCATCTCAGCTCTTCTCTGCTCTGAGCTTGGTCCTCCTCCTTCCCCCGTGTGTTTTAATTAAAGAACTTCAAGCCGTGCCATGGATCCCTGCCTTGGATTGAGATGTTTTCCAGCATACAGAAAAAGCTATTAATCTCCGCTGACTTTAAAAGGGTTTGAGAGAACCGGCTCACGTGTAAACATTTACATGTGGAGCTGTTTGGTGAGATGAGTCCTGGTCCTGCTGCCCAGCTGCAGTGCGGGGTATATTTAGCACGCCCATCGAGGAGGGCAAGGAAGTGTTTGTGTTGCTATAACACAAATGGTGTTTTCCTCTGAGGGAGGCGAGGACACAGGAGCATCCTTATCTTGGGGCTGACAGCTTTGGAGCGTGTGCCTGGGAACTCAAATGAGCTGCATGGTAACCAGACAAACCCCAGAGCCCAGCACTCCGGCCCCTGTTTTCAGCTGGAAAGCCTGTGGAAAAAGTTGTGAAAGGGCCGGGTGGAGATGCTGCTGGAGAGAGCCACGGCAGCAGAGCCTCTCCTGTCCCTTCGTGCCCCGTGCTGGGCCCTGCTCGGGGCAGGAGGCATCGCACGGGGCAGAGCGCCCAGAGTGCTGCCTTCTCCAGCAGCCCATTGCTTCCCTCCTGCTCAGGTTTTGCTTTGCCTTTAGAGCTCGCCCACAGCTGGAGAGCTAAAAACACCACCACAAGAAGGAGAAACATGCCCCCTGAGCCTGTCACACGCTCGGGCCTCTGGCACAGCGTTGTGCTCTGCAGCTTGTGCTGGGCGCTGGGTGAAGGAATTGTTGCGACATGCCAACTGTGACCTGCTGCATCTCTCACCACAGCCCCCATCTGGCTCCACATGGAGGTCCTGAGAATAAACATGAGGGAAGATGTGTCCTTTTACTTTCCTAAGCCTTAGATTACCAAAAACCGGGCCTGTGCAGGGTGGTTGCTTGGGTAGGACAATTTTCTGCGTTCCTGCTGGCGAGTGGTTCCCTCTCACTTGCGTCACCAGTAAATGCTCTGCTCTGCTGCCACGGCTCGCTGGGGCTCTGCCCCTTCGCCTGCTGCCTGGGGGGCAGTGCCCACCCCAAGGCCCCCGCGGAGGCAGGGGGAGGTCAGAGGCGCGCTCTGCTGCTCGGGGAGGAGTTCTGGCAGGTACCGGAGAAGAAAGGGAGCCCCAGCGCAGCGTGCCTCACCACAGGAATGCACACTGCGCCTTCCTGCAGCCCTCACTGAGCCCTTCGCAAGCCCAGCCTTGCCTCCAGAGCTGCTCTTCCCAGAGCTGCGCTATGGAGAAAAAGGAGGGTCCTGTGGCCACCTCCTGGGGAGTTGGTGGCCTTCAGGAGGCAAATGACACGAAGCTGCCACGGCAGGGGGCAGGCAGAGGAGAGAGACCCGGGGAAGGGAAGGGAAGCTGGAGGCAGGGCGTGGGCAGGTGCCCCGTGTGCCCCTCGCTTTGCCAGCAGCACCAGCTGGAGCTGGGTTTGGCCCTGCCGAAGCGTTTTGGGCTTTGTGCTGAAAAGCAGCATTATGAAATGAGGTTATGGCACTTGTCGTCCTTAACATGCCTGCCATGCCTTGGCACCGGCTGCACCGCGCAGCATCCGGAGGCCGAGCACAGATTCCCTTTTAAGGCAAAGAGCCACTCTGAGAATCCCAGGGAAAAAGTTTCCCTGGCATGGAGGGTACATTCTTCTTCCCTCCTCCCCTTAAGTAAACTATTAGTAACGTTGAAAAACAGAACAAAAATGAAGGAGCAGGGCCAGAAATGCTGCCGAAGGCATTTTATTCGGCGCGGCCCCCTTAGAGCCATGCCGTAACCTGGCCCCGGGGCTGACCTAGGGCGGGAGCTGGGAGGAACGGAGCTGGGGTCCTGGGGTCTGTCGGGGACCTGGGGCGAGAGGAAATGGGAGCGGAGACGGCCTGGAAGTGCACAGTCTCCTTCCCATCCCCAGGCCCTGGAGAAACAGCCTGACCACAGCAATCCGTGAGCAATTGTCTAGCAGGATGCAGTGGGTTTGGGCTTGCGTCCTAATACCTTGCAGTCTCCCTTCCCCCGCTGACAGTCTTTTCTTTCCCAGCCCTGGACGTGGACGTCCAGGGTTCGTGGTCTGGGCGGGCTGTCTCATGGCGTTTTCAGCTGAAGGCTTAGCGCGATTCTTGGCTAAAACAGGAGCTGTGACTGCAGAAAGCTCTCCGCAGGGGGACTAGATCTGCATGGTTTTAAAAGAAGAGGGAAATACAAACACCATCCCTCGCTGTCAGCTGCAGTGAAGTTCAAACAAGGCTTTTAATTCTGCCTTTCAGTGCCTGCCATGTACAGAGAAATCAAGGAGCTGCGTTCCCAGAAGGTGACCTTCAGGTGACTGCAGCCTTTAAGCTGCCAGCCCTTGTGCCTCTCAGAGGGCAAAAGACTGTGTCCTGCTGTGGGAGATGGGGTGGCTGGGGTGGGAAAACAGCGTCTGAGAGTTTGTGGCTGGAGTGACCTGCTGCTTCGCTGCTCGTGCTGGGAGGCTGCTGCTGGGAATGACATTTTAGCTCATAAAACTGTTTCCTTCCTGCCATGAATAGGTTCTGGAGTCCCATAGTTGCGCAGAGCGTTTCTGACCAGAAATTTACTGATAACTTCTTTCCGGTAAAGTGCTATGGAAAAAATAGCAGATAAGGAAAGCTGGGAGCAGTCAGCCTGCTTTTCCTTGCAAAGCCACAGCCCTCAGGGTGGCTGAGAGCTTTGGTGCTTTCCTTTCTGCACAGGGGAGCGCGTTAGAGGGAAAGGGTGTGAGGGTTCAGAGTTTTTACTTTCAGATGTTTTGTTCGCTCTCCTGCTCCTACCCACTGCCTCTGATTCCTTGCCCCAAGAAGGGAAGGGGAGAGAAACTGCAGCGAAAACCTCCAGCATGCTTTGCATTTTGAATTACAGCCCCCTGTTCACTGCGAGATGTAAAAACGTGAAAGTGGTCGTAAGGATTGGCCTAAGGGACGCCGCTGAGGTGTTGGCTCGCTGCCTCTCTAACTCTGCGTTGGCTGGTGTTGTAAGAAGCTAACCCCCATCCTCGGATTACCGAGAAAGTGGGTTTTGGCAAGAGTACTTGGTAATGCTTCATCTGTGGAGGATATTTTAAAACATGGTGTTTCAGAAGGAAAGGAAAAAATGACAGGATGAAAATCAAAGGCAGAGCTAGTTTGATACACGCCGTGATGTGGCAGTCTGGAGGAACACCTAGGCGAGCTGTGATGCGGTGTCGCTGTTGGGACTCACTCTCAGGAGGCTGTTTCCCATAGTGGTGTTTTGGTCAGGAATGCAGCATTTCAACCCTAAAATGTTCCTGCTTGCGAACCATATAAATCGTAAAGCATAAGCTAAATTACTTAAAAATAGTCCCCTAAAACCTTAGGTATATGTTCTTTATATTTTGTAACATTCTGTGGGCTTCTTGTTTTTGATCTTCCTTAAAACAGATTTGTCCTTTTGTGCTGCTTCTGTACGCAGTGCTGTGAGCCTCGGGCTCTCACTCTCCTCTCACCAGCACTGAATACATCAGCTAGATCGTCACACCTGAGAAATGTTCTTTTCTGAATTTGCTGGTGATTCCTGGAATTATACCAGTTAACCTTGGGTAATAAATAAGAGGCAGTTATTAAAAAAATATTAACCGCAAAGTAAGCGTCTTTGTGTTGCAAGGTTCATCATCTGTGGCAATTTTTTCATCCCCGCAGACCTGAGGTGCCTTGTGAGTTTTGAAGTTTGCAAGCAGGGAGAAATTCGCCACTTGAGGCCTGCTGGACCTGCTCTGTCGATTTTCAAAGAGAAACCAGCATCCCGGAGACCTGGCTGGGACCTGAAACTGGCGCAGGATCCAGAGGGCACAAAGTTTTGCCTACAGCTCTGGTTCCTTGCCATTATGTTTTTGGTAGAATATATATATATTACTTCACTCTTTTAAAGTCACTTCAAAGTGACTTTAAAGTCTTTCTCAAGTCAGCTCTCCCATATGGTGTTTGTTTCTGGAAACAAACAAACAAAATAACCTTGGATTTGCCACATTAAGAAGAAAAAAGGACACTGGTGACTTGTATTTTAAAAAGAAAAACTAAATGGCCGTTCACCACAGGGTGTAGAGAGCTGGGTGTGAAAGGTGTAGGGGATGGTGACTGAAGCCATGGTTTGACCCTGAGCAGGCTGCAGCTTTCGAACTGGTCTCAGAAACTGCCCAGCCTGCTGGAGGTGGCAGGATGGGGTTAGAGCAGTGCTGGGCAGCTGGTTGCCTCTGGGAAAAAGGAATCCTGAATTGGTAAAGATGATCTGAAAATGCATGATCAGTTTAGTGAAGTTCGGCATTTCCTAAACCACAGGGCATCCCCTGTGTGATCAAACTTGTACTAAATGCAGCTCACATACCAAAACCGTGCGGATGCCTGGTACAATTCCAAGCAATGTGAACCAAATCGGGTTAAGGAGCGTGTCCCTGCTGTGGACACTGTGTCCCCGACACGTCTTCAGCTGAATCAGATTGCTGCCCCTGTGCTTCTTTTGAAACAAGCCGTATCAGTTGAAATGGAAGCACGTCCTTAGTGTTTGTACAGTGAATAAACTTTGAACCTTGCAGCCAGTTTCTGGTATGAAAGGGGAATAATACTTTCCTCCTATGGTTTTAAAACTAAATACCTGGATGGTGCTTTGAAGATGCTCCAAAGAAGGTTTGTTAGACCAAGAAACTACCGGGCATCTGATCAAGAAGGAAATGAGAGAGAGCTTACAGGAGGATCTTGATTAACTGAGACAGGCTAACAGAGCAACCTGGGAAATTGGCATTTGTGCTCGATCTTAACGAGGCAGTTAGTCCAGGAAAAAGATCATCGTGGCCCAGCGGGCCCATGACTCGGTGGTGTTGCCTTACACGTCTCTTTCTCCAGTGAGAATCCAGGCAAGCTTCCAGCCGCTGTGTTTTCTCAGGTGAACATGAGGCTGAGGATGGGACCCGGCAGGAGCAGCAAGGAATGTTCCCTCTGGCTGGAGCCGGTTCGTGGAAGCTGCTGTTACGGCGCTTCACGTGAGCGACCTCTCTTGTGCCATCTCCCAGCCCTTCTCCCTCTCTGAATCTTCTTCCTGGGTGTGACTCGGCCTGTGGCATCGTACCCGACCAAGTGCCTAACACCAACCACACACAAACCTAGCCTGGGACTTAGCTGAAGGATTAGTTTGTTCTCTGGTTTACCTGCCAATGAAAGCTGCTCAGTGCTGTCTCCTTAGCTCCCGGAAGATGTCTCTTTCCTGAACTAGTAGCCACGCACAGATAGGCAGGCTTTGGGCTAACCTTGGCAGACCTCCACCATGGTGCTGCATGGCAGCTCTTCCTGCAGCTGTTTGGGGTTGCATTGATCTGACATGTAAGTGCTAAGATACGTTGAGCAGAATTCTCTCTTTTTCTTTTCTTTTTTATTTATTTATTTATTTAAAGAAAAACACAGATAAACAGAAATCAGGACTTCTGTTGGCTTCAGTAATGTTTTGAAAGGCACTGCCCTTTTTGTGGTCTTGCATGACATTTAGTTATGTTTTCCAGTAAATAATCTGTAGGTGATGGATTGTGGTGTTCCCTGGGCAGAGCAGTAGGTCTCCACAGCGCTTGACACTTTTCCTTTCTCTGAAAGCAGGCTGAACGTGCTGCTTTATGCTTGCTGCTGTAGTCTTCACTTACAAGGGTGTTCTGGGACACCTCAGAAATGGCAACACTGTAATTTCTGATATTTGTGTGCTTCAAAGTGAAAAACTGAGGAAGGCCTCTTGCATGTAAGCCCAGCAGCATGAAGGGAATAACGGGTGGTTCTCTTTGCACACCGGGAGTTGGCTCCAGGTAGGTGGTGTTTTCTTAGAGGCCTCTGAAACAGCAGTTTGGAGGGGGGGGAGAGCAGAAGCAAGGAAGCAGACCTCTGGGCTTTTCTTCTGGTACTTCTGGTAATTGTGAATGTCTGAGCCTTGGTTTATCTGGAACACAGAGCTGTTACTTGTTGACTCTTCGTCACAGAGAAACGTGTTTCTTAAACTGTTTTCTCCGTACTGCTGTATGCTCCAGCTTTGTAAGTCTGTAAAAATGCTTTAGTATTGACCACTATTGACAGTTTCTAACCTAAACCTACAGTTTTGCAACCCAGGCTGAGCATGATTAAATTAATACTACAAAGTCTGATTTTACAACCTGAGTTGTGTCTGAGGGAAGATGTGTGGTCTGATTTAAAACCTGGCGATGTTAAGACTGGAGTTTCTTTTGTTTGTACTTAAAACACTTGAGCCGTGTAACACCCCAAGCAGGTCAGGAAGATCTGCTGGTAGAAACGATTTTCTGGGGTCTTGTGTTAGTCCTCAGCAGCTGCAAAAGGTTAAACAGAAGTTTGTGCTGCAGATGGTGCTTGGACATTCGGGTTTCAGTGGTGTGAGTAGAACCCCCTGGGTATCGGTGACACCTGTGCTTAGGGGCCTCGTTGCAGGCTCAGTGATGGAAGTCACGAGCCCAGCTCTTTCTTAAACCCAGGCAGAGCCCTGGGAAGCTTCTGTTTGAGGCCATCCGCTTCTGACTGAGGCCGTTGTGGACAGACTTGCAGCCTGTTGAGAAGCGCCTGCAGGTACTAACGTGTGGGAATGAGTTGGTTTTGTAAAAGGACCGCGTGTAATCAGCACGTTTGTGAACTCCATCTAGCGCTGAATGTTTGTTGGGTTTCTTGGAGAGAAGGTGCTGAAGGGAGGACAGGGTAAAGGCAATGCACGTGCTCTCACTGGAAGGTCTGCCTCGGCCTCCCGTGCCTGCCCTGCGTGCATTCCCTCAGTGGCCTGGCTCCGTCACCTCCCCGTCCCTCCGTCTATGACCCCCGTCCCCTCTCCCCCTCCTCTCAGGAGCTGCTCTAAGCTGACGTGGGTCAGCCCTGACCCGGGGACCTTGGTGTGTCCTGGAGTAAAGC